TATTCTTTGCTTTTGTTTTTCTTGTCTGTTGTTTTCCCCTCTTTAAAATAAAATAAACATTTAAAAGTAAATAACAAAATGGCTGTAGCTGTAAGGGCTTGTTTCTGTGTCCTGTATTGTGTTCCATTGGTAAAACTTTGATTTTTAAATGAGTGAGTGCCTGAATTTGATTTCCAGCACTATAAAATTATATATATTTAATACTTTAAATATTTTCTCTAAAATAATTATATACTAATATTTATTGTACTAAAAACACACCTTGATAATGTGTTGCATGTTCTCCATCCCAAACATTATTTCTCCTTTGTTACAACTTTATTTACATTTTGTTGAAAGATACAAATGCTATATTTTAATTTCTAGATATTATAAACATGTTTACATATCAAAAATTAATAACAATTTAAATATTTTGAGTAAATAAGCAGTGAACAATGATGGAATCTATTTTGAGACAAGGAAGTCTAGGAATATGAACTTGATCAGTAAAGCTTTTCTTTCTTTTTTGCAAAGTACTACTACTAATTCCCCTGTCTATATCCTCCAAAAGACACAAGACTGAAAAAATACATACTTTGAGGTCCAGAGATTGAGACTGTCACAAACTTGCCAGGATTTGGGCCAGCTTTCATCGTAGCCAAGGGTAAAGTGAAACAGGCTTTGATAACACTGCGCCTCAGGGTTCAATGGTTTCATCCCTGATTGAAAAAGGTGTGCTGGTACATCTAACTGCACTTAACATTCTGGAAGAAATCTGTAATCATTTGTGGAGAATGAAAGTATGACCTTCTCTCTCACAGTCTTGAGTTAATTCGATAATATGTCAAGCAGTAAAATGGATGTAATTTATGAATCCATATCTGCAATTTGATCACAATAGTCCTACACATTTGGTACACAGAATGCATAACTCAAAACAGTGGAAAAGGAGAAAAAAATCACAGAAACAGGCATTTAGATGATGAAGACAGCAGATATAAGTTTTACTATTAAAATATTAATGAGTTTTAGGAAATAAAAGGCTGAAATTTTCAAAAATAGTGGACATCAGAGAAAACATCAAATTGAAATTCTAGAATAAGAATATAAAAACTAAATAATTTGATAAATGATTTTAATTTTGAATACAGAATAAAACAGAGAAAATTGAAAAATATGCAAGTACACCTCCATGGACAACACAAGGAAATTGTATATGTAATACAAGTTTCAATTTTTCAAAAGAGGAAGAGACAATATGTGAAAACAGAATTTTTTTTTAAAATGTGTAAAAGACACCAAACTGCAAATTAAAGGGTACTACAACTAATCAGAATGTGTGCTTATACAAGTTTTAATACAACGTACAAAACTACCAAACAAAAGAAATATCTTAAAGACCATCAGATGGTAAAAGCAGAAATGGGGTACTAAACAATTAAAAACTCTAAATAAACAATACAAGCCAGAAATCAAATAACTATATATCTGTAGATAACAAAATATATTTGTATACATCCATAGCTCTTTGAAAACATACTTTGAAAATAAAATTGAAGCAATCATTTATTTAACAATCAATAGTAACAGTGAATGAGAAAACGTGAATAAAAATCTAATTAGAGAAACTTGAAAGCTAGAAATTTGACATTTTTAGGCAATTGTTAACTAATTATGATAAATATAGTAAGGATAGGAGTTATATTGAAACACACAGAAATATATACCTTAATGTCATTGTCACCACCTAAATTGATTTAATGCATTTTCTTATGTAAATTAACATATCATCCTGGGTGGAGAACCATTATAATATCTTCTTTTTCAACTTTGGGACTGTTACCTATTTTTCAACAATAATGATTTGTATATCTGAGAGTTACCAAAAACTATGCTAGACACTATAATTTAAAAAATAAATAGCATGTTAATTTCCTTCTACAAAACATATTGTATTTGGAAAATAAGGAAGCTAAACAAAGTATTATGTTACAATATGAAAGGGCTAGTCATAAAATACTGAATATTATAACTATATATACAAACTATATAACATAGTCATAATTGTTAAGATTTAAATAGGAAAACAGTAAGCAAATAACCCTACTTAATACCTGCGTAGTTTTTTTTTAAAGCATCTGTTTCGTATCAGAAGTACTAATACTAGAAGCATCCCAAAAAGTTCCCCTGTGCATTTCTACCCTATGTTCACTTTCTTTCTAGCCAAGCTAGCATAAAAATGGACAAGAAAATTCCACACTCATTATAACCCAGCAAGTGGAGGAAACTGCAGACCACATACTATGAAAGCTGGCAGCCAAATGCAATAAGCATTAGATAAAATTGACCAAGGGTCACAGAACATATTCAAAATGCACTCAGATTTCACTATATATATATATATATATATATATATATATATATATATATATCAGGCCTCCTAAACCAGAAGTCTCTTGCTTACAATAGCAGATTCTAGTAGCATGAGGGCTTTCAGGAGCACATGAAAACCCATGTCATATAATAGGGTAGCAGGAAATGTGCACTGACTAAAAAAACTTAAGAGCATCCTGAGTATACTAGATGTGCACTGTCAGCATCAAAGCTTGAAGGACAGCGGGCACATTATGACACATCAGTATGTGTTGATAAAATAATGCTACTAATTACCCTAATCATAAGTCATCACATACATAAAAGTATCTATACAATACTATATTAACTCTGAACCACAAAGAAACATCTTTCTTGATAAGAAGAGGTGATCGTGTATCATTAAGATTGGAGATAAATGACCAGAGCTAAAAATACAGCTGAGCTTTTGAGAAAACATTGGTGATAAGAGGCTCTGCTTACCACCACTGGAAAACTGAAGTGGACTGAGACAGGAACGAGTTATGGGATGTAATAATCACATAAAGATACTTTTCTTTCCCTCTACAAGCTTTGCTATTCCCTTTATGTTCTCTATTCCTAATGTTACTCTTAAAGAAAAAGTTATGTACACATCATTCAAGGCTTTGCAAAGACAGAACTTGGCCACTTCAGATTTCAGTAAATATTCAAAGACTGTCTCTCGTTATTTGTTTGTCATTGTTATGCTGGTTTGTGACTCTCACTGAGTCAATCCATGCGGTCATGGAAATAATGTGATTTCTGTGGTTGCACTTAAGTTATTCCAGTAGGTAAATATTAAAGTTGAGCTCTTGTAAACCAGCAGGGTTAACAGTAGGTGAGTCTGAGTTTGTAAAAAAATAAAACTAAAAGTTTTTACTAAAATTCCAGCAAACAATACTCTAGGCAAGCAGAAAAGTAATATTATCCCTTAGTATTTTTTCTTAGGGATACTTTAGAGATACAATAAATTTAATCCAGGGAGAAATGAAGAAACTGTTGAAAGACTTTAAAACAAATGTCAAAGATGCACAAACCCCAAAATACATTTACGTTAAGACATTTAAAAAATCTATTGAAAATATGCGGGCTGGGGATTTAGATCAGAGGCATAAGTGCCTGCTTTGCAAGCATGCAGTCTTGAGTTCGATCCCTGGTACCTAAAAAAAAAAAAAAAAAAAAAAAAAGATATAAAAAAAAATCTATTGAAAATACATAACTAGGGGCTGGGGATTTAACTCACTGGCATAAGCACCTGCCTTGCAAGTGTGCGGTCGTGAGTTCGATTCCTGGTACCAACAAAGACAAAAAAAAAAATTTAAAAAGAAAATACATAACTGCTAGAATTGATTCAAGAAATAATTAATAATAACAATTGTAATAAATAACAATCTTGCAAAGCATGACAAGGAGTTATTCTTTCAGTTGCACTTGTTCATATACATACAGATTCATTTTCTATGACTTTAAGATGCAAGTAGAAGGATGCACTACTGAAAGATTTCATATCCTGGATAAAGCCAGAATTTACATAAAAATCAATTTTTGCAGACCACATATTCTAGTCATTGGGTAACCATGTATCTTGTGATGAGGCAGTTAGATCGCCAAGTTGTGTATTAAATTTAAAAGTTTAAATGCAAAAAAATTTATACTAGTTGAGATATATACAGCCCATTATATGACATTATATTACAACTCATTTAGTCAACTTTGTGTTCCATAAAATAATTCTATACAATGGACGTCTTAAATAACAGAAATTTATTTTCTCAAATTTCTGGAAGCTGTTAAGTTTCTCATCAGGGTGCCAGGGTTGCCAGTGTTTGTTGAGGCCTCTTTTTCTGGGTCGCGACAGATTACTAGCTGCGATCTTTCTGCATTCGCACAAGGCAGGAAGACAGCGTGCTTTCCGTGGTCTCTTCTTGTAAAGTTATCGATCCGATTGGGTAGGGTGTGGCAAAACTGCATGGAGAAGTGGGCAGGGCCTGCCAATTTCAAATCCCAACCCCACCCCGACCAGATGATTCTAAGGACCTGTAGGTAGAACTTCTCACTGGCTCTCTAAGAAATGGACCTGATAAAGGACATCAGATACCAGGAGGAACGTGCAGCTACACCTCACTTAGCCCGCTCTACAACTCCCAGATGCAGGGGACCCTTTTATTTGTACTTTTACCCTTTTCTCTCTTTGTTCCACCCAAAAGTTTACTCTGCAGAGCCAGTTTTCCCCTTACCAGTCACTTCTTATTTTCCAAATAAAATTTTGGCACCATTTTTGACTTGCCTTGACCAATTCATTAGAAATAGAAGAACCTGGAATCCTCTTACTTGGGGAGCCATTTATAAAGGAACTCACTGATAATGAGATCTTGAGGGTCACACTGATAATCTCAGCCACGCCTCATTACCTTCTGAAAGCCTGATTTCCAAATACTGCCTCATTGCTGATAACACCTAAAACATAGGAATTTTGGGAGACACATTTCGGTCTGTAGAAAGACATTCTTTCATTTTATATCACTACATTCTTTTACTTTACATCTCTACAATTATTATGACTATATACAAAATTATAAATTTTTGAAAAGATAAAATAGCATTTATGCATAATCAGTATACAGAAACAGGTGTCTAAATGTAATATTTCAGTTTTAACTCCATTTCTGTATATAACAAACTTCTGAAGAAAAATTTTCAATTAACAGTAATTACGCCTCAGAAAAACCTCACTGACTACAATACTGCCCCTATGCAATGATAATTTATAGTATTATGTTGTAGTTTTACAACAATAATCAAGAACAAAACATTAAAAAGTTATATGTGCTCTGCTTGAGACATTATTTAACATGAGACAAGTAAAACTTAGGTGAAAATTTCAAATTGCTATTTGTATCAACCTTTTGAATAAACAGCTTTGAAGAAGAAAAAGTATTGTGAGAGTTTTATAAATTTTAAAACATAAATTTGCTGAAAATCACATACATTGACACCATTTATAGCTATTTTTATCCATTCATTGTATTTAGTAAGTTCTTAGCTAATTACAATAAGAGAATTATTTTTAAATGTCTGTTCTCAGATAATTTGTAATACAGGATAAAGTTTCAACAGCAAATAATTTTTTAAACTTAGAAATAAACTTGTAAGTGATGAATCCATATCAGAGTACTTATCACTAGAGAGTATATAACTTAATTATAAACCCTAGTGCTTAAAATTCTTCAAATTTGTGCTCCATCCCCGTTACAAGATTTGGTTTCACTAACTGATCTATGCTATTAATTGAATTAAGTGTATAATTAATTGACAGCAAAATGAAAAGTAATTTGGCTTTAATTTCATGCAGGAAATTAACCATCATATCTTCATATGGATATACTAGGAACAGCAAATATTTCGTAAATCTTTACATAAATGTAATTATCTCCAGAACATCTTTTGCTTTGAGAATGAAGAATTAGCTTAGCAAAATGTGTGAATATTTATCTCAAAAGATGAAATGGTAATTATGGTATCGAATGCAAAGAGTTTGTGTCTAGAATGGAATCAATTTAAGGTGGCTTGATAAGCTCATTTCTCAAAAATGCAAAACTGTTTTCTGCATGGAAATATTTAACCACAAATTAGTAATGTTGGTTTTTTTCAACTTAAAATTTTGTGGGATGGAAAAGAGTTGGTTTTCACCACATATTTTAAAGAAATGCCAGATGAATTCTGAAGTCTGGAATGATGAAACCCTGCAAACAATGAGTTACATCCTTCATGATAGCTTTCAGTGTTTTATAGTTTTCAGAGCTAATTAGAAGCAGTTTCAAATAGATATTTCTTTATCTTAGCCTTAAGAATGAGACCAGAGTCAGCTTTTTGAGCTGTAACCAGATGCTGATTTTATAACCTTAGCTATGTAGGCTAACAGCTAACAGCTTAGGCTCTGAGACTTTCAAAGTTATTTTTAGGACAAATCAGTTAATGAGCAGGTACAAACTTAAGCATAAATGAGCAGCAGGGCAAATGCAGCCAAATGTCAGAGAGAGTCTCAGATGTTAGTACAAATAGCAATTATTCAATTCAGTTATGGACAGAGTGAATAAAAATGAACCATCACCAACTGCTAGCCAATAAAAAGGTTGATGTTTTTATGCATAGGAGAAAATGCACAGAAAAAATAAACACACAATGCATATCAAAATAGCTTATGCTTTCTACCTTTCATGCAAACAGAAAGCATAGTGTCCTTTTCTTTCTAGAACTTCCCACATTCTACCCTGTTAGCTATGATACTTATGTTATAATTCTAATAAAAACTACATGTTAGCTCTGTACTAGTTTATTTGGAATGAGGAAGGTTTGTGGAATCTTTCAACATGCTACACAGGACTCTAAGAAGCAAGCAAGGTCATAATTCACTTTCCTGCAGGCTCTAATCTGCACCAAGAATAAACAGTTCAAAGAAAGGCTAAAATAAATCGATTAATTTGCATTGAGGAAATTGCATCAGCATTTAAGGAATAACTAAATCTCAGACAGAAGATGAAATTTTGCCTGAGATAGGGGCCAGTAGTGCCTGAGACTTTTAATTGCTGTTCTGATTTTCAATGCAGAGTGTAAAGCTGAAGAAAAGAAGACCAAGAATTATGCTTGGATGAATTAATTTTACCAGTTTTTCAAATAATTATTTTGTAAGAAATATATATTGTCCCAAAACTTCCATCCAGAACATTTTTGAAACACTGCTCAAAGTTAAGAACAAATGTTTATTAAAATTATGTTCTTCAGGGTATAGGGATATAGCTCAACCACACAGAGCCTGCCTGGCAAGTGAGAGGTTGTGAGTTTGATCCCTGATGCTAAAAAATAACAGAAAAATCATATTCCTCAAACAGTTCGTTTTCATAAAAAATTGACAAACTATTATGTACATTTTCTTACATATTCCTTTTTGATGCCAAGCAACTATTATCTCTATTTCTAACAATATTCTGTATTTTTTAAAGGAAGTTTACTTTGTTTTTTACTGATACATTTTAGATATACATAACAAAACCATTTAACACAGGAGGTCTATATGTGTACATCGTGCATCTTTTAAGAGGGAAGGATATTTTTTGTTCTCATTTTGCAGAGTCTCTGTAGATGGTTGCTGTGCCACCACAGGAAGGAAAAGATAAAAATAAAAACCCTTAGTCTTCTGTCAAAACCAGACTGATCTTTTTACTGCAAAGATAAAGCATGGGTAAGGATCCAACTTAAATTTATTCAATCAACTCCTCCAAATATGAATGATGATAGGAATGATGAAAGTCAAAAATAATTATAATTTATCTATTCTAGCAATGTGGGCATTGCCTAGTGATTAGTGTCACTGAGATTTTAAACTTTCTTTTTCCGGTCCATTTTAAACCTTGTTCTCTAGTTTTATTTTAATCTCAAGAAGCTACCACATATCCTCCCAGTAAACTCATGTTAGTTTAATTCATCTGAGTCATCAGAAAATGTTTATGACCTGAGCTAGAATGCTTTGGAAGCAAATTTTAATGCATGATTATATGGTGCTTATTTTGGAAGAATATTTTTCCTACTTGTTTGTGGATTACTGAGTGGAGACGGTGGGGAGTTTGACCCAATAAGTGGAAGAATCCAAAGCTTTCATCACACATAAGTGCAACGGGTTACAGTGGTAGAGGCAGGAGAGACAGTGTTAACTAACATGCCCAGCAGACACAGCTCTTGTCATCAGAATGCAAATATGTTTGAGCCACAGTCAAATTTACCCACAGGTGCTGTTGGGTGCAAACTGCAGGAAAATCCACAATTTTCTTCTATTAGATAATACATAGTCTTATGCAGTCACAAATAGTCATAAAACACAATCACAACTTACACTAATGATGATAAATATAATGCAGCAATCAAAACATTGAACATAACTCATGTCATTTAATCATTTCTTTCCTGACCAGGGCTACTTTCCAGATAGCTACTGTTTCTTGGAATGTTTGTCTCATGATGTTTTCGCTTCCCTCCAAGTCTGCTAAGTACATCAATACCTCAGTCATTAGCACTGATTTCCTGAATGCACTGGGTACAATTGCATTTTGTCACTGGGTGGAACTGTGTCAGTATTTCTGGCCTGTGAGCTACAAGTGGGAAATGGCAATAAAGCAGCTTAGGGTCTCATTCCTGGAGGTGGTCTACGTCTTTGGATTAGCCCTGCTGCCAGGGATACCTCTGGAACTGTCTCCCTGAAGGGGAGAAGGAAGACAAGAACCGCAATTGGAAGAAAACCCTCAACCTCTTCTTTAAGAAGGAATGAATGAGTTGAAGCACACTTAGCATCTATATCTGAAGAACTTTGTTATATACCTCCTGCCCTTGATCCTTTTGTCTTCTTTTGAGCTTTAGAGCTGTCCAAGGACTCTTCCTTGATATCCTTTAATACTGTATTCAATCTGGTGCCTCCTTATGGAGAATTTTTTATCTGTTATAATTTGATCTCTAACTTACATTTGCCAATTTACCATGTCTCTCCATAATAATAGCACCCGACAGCTGTTGACCACTTAGATTGTGCTAGAAACTGCCCAAATATTTTAGCTTTACATATATTAACTCTTGTAAGCTTCAGAGAATCTCTGTGAAACTGGATTGTCATGTCAAATTTCAGATGCAAAACTTGAGGCTTGAGTTATTTGATATTCAATTATTGAATGGCTTTGTTGTTATCATTGTTTTTAAATTCTGTGCTGCATTAAATATGTATATTACTTGCTGAATAGAAATACAGAAATCCAATATTTCTCTTACTGTAAGTGATGACTTATCAGCATATTTTGCATTTCCTTTTGATTTTCTTCTGTAAAGAAGAAGATATAACATATCTACATTGAGAGAATAGTACACATTTCAATAGTAAATGTGTCATCTCACTCATAATTTCCTGGCAATGAATTTCTTAAATGTATATCTAAATATCCTTTGTATTTTCTCAATCTGAGAACAGCTTGAAAGTCTCACACTGGAAGAGCAATTTCCCTTCAGTTTCTTCTCTGCCGCCTCCCACCCCTCCTCTGCCTTTGCTTGTTCTTTTCAAGCTTGTTCTTATCATTATGTTGTTACACTTCTTTGCTATTAGTTAAGAGGTTTATTTATGGCATCCCCAATCACGCTGGATAGCAGCACAAGAAGGGATTTCAGAAGATTAAAGTTCCCTCTTGAATATGCCAACACTTTCGTATTAATTGTTGATTTTGTAGTTAGCATGACTGCAGGCCAGCTGGCTCCCTTGTGGAGCTTGTTCATCAAGCACACGCCAACTGACACTTCAAGATGCTCTGAACTTTGTTAATGTGTGCCTGTAAGTCTGAAGCTGTCACTTTCCTCTGCAGTGAGCAATCGCACCCATTTCTACATGCACATGACTGCAGCAGAGCTGTCCTGAACCAGCACGCACTCTTCTGCAAGGTAAGGGACAAATGGGAAACACAAGAGCACAAAAGTATGACGAATTGGGATTTGTGGTTACCCAGAATGCAAGAGGGAAATAAGGATTTATACAATATCTAGAAAAAAAAATAACTCAGAATATATGAGACTGATGGTAGGTTATTGTGGGAAAAGTACAGGAGTTTAAAAAGCCAGAAGAAAAATTAAAACTTATTTCTCATCCACAGAAAGCTGTGGTGTTTAAAATACCATTAGGAGTCCTGTTATGTTAGAGTAGCTTAATAAGCTACGTGGGCATTTCATGCCCAATTAA